GGGACCAGGTGCACTCAGTGTCAAACAGTCACAAAGATATGGGACCAGATGCACTCAGTGGGACCAGGTGCACTCAGTGTCAAACAGTCACAAAGATGTGGGACCAGGTGCACTCGGTGCCAAGATGGTACTCGGTGCCAAGATGGTACTCGGTGCCAAGATGGTACTCAGTGCCAAGATGGTGCAGTGAGTGGTGAAACCGTGGGGCCAGATGCAGTGCCACGGTTCCAAGGCGTTAGCACTGCGGAATCGAGGTACAGGAGGGCATTCGTTCCACAACGAAGCTCCCTGGACCCTTGTTGAGAGTACACATCCCTGGCCTGTTTCTCCACGCCTATTGAGCATGACACGAGTTGGAATTCGCTGGGTGCAAGTTGCAAACACCGAGCTTCAAGAATCATCCATTCTCGCCTAAGGAAGGAAACAAACAAACGAAACCCCTCCAACAAGGTTGGCCATCCCTCCTCTGTTTGTGTGTCGTCCCCGTCAACGGGATCGGGATCAATCGGCCATTTGGCCTCGCCCACCAAGCCAAGCGGCTCTGCTGAATGAATCAGGCATATATGGGCTGACTTGTCAAGTAGCTGCTCTGGATGCTCTGTAGAGCCTATAGACTATAGGCTATACTGCAGCTAAAGAGCACCACCTTGACAAGTCAGGCCATATATGCCTGATTGATTAACCAGAGCCGCTTGGCATGGCGGGTGAGGCCATATGCTCAGGTATAGACTATAGGCTATACTGCGGCTAAAGAGCACCACCTGTAGAGCCTATACTAGGCTATACTGCAGCTAAACAGCACCACCGGTAGACTGGGAGGAGGCTTAAACAGCACCCCACCGGTCAATTGGGAGGAGGCTTAAACAGCACCCCACCGGTCAATAGGGAGGAGCCCCAGGCATCAAAATTTTACTTGGAGAGCCAGTGTGAGGTTGACATCAGTTTCAGGGGCAGAACCCCTCTTAGCTGATATGCAAGCATAAGCGTTTAGATGACGAGTGAGCGACTTGCTGGGGCGATGACTTAGTAGTTGGCCAGGAGGAGGGCAAAGGTATGTGGAAGAGCAACTGGGCTTGTGTTGGTTCAAGGGGGAAAAGCGGGGCATGGAACGCTGTCATGTAACTGGAGTATCCACCTCGAGTACAACTGAGTGACTGGAGTCGCCCCGGACGCTTGTTTGCCATGCTGCATTGAGTGCACGACAAGTATGGAAGTACTGACCAACGGGAATCATTGCGGCCACTTGCTGCATATCGAGTGTGCAAGCACTGACTCACTTGAGTGCACAAGTACTGAAGTACTGACTGGCGGGAATCATTGCGGCCCCACTTGCTGCATATCGAGTGTGCAAGTACTGACTCACTTGAGTGCACAAGTACTGAAGTACTGACTGATAGGAGTCATTGCGGCCCCACTTGCTGCATATCGAGTGTGCAAGTACTGACTCACTTGTGTGCACAAGTACTGAAGTACTGACCGGCGGGAGTCATTGTGGCCCCACTTGCTGCATATTCACCGACGGGAGTCATTGCGGGCACTTGCTGCATATTGAGTGCCCAAGTACTGACTGACTGACTGGAGTCGTTGCAGACGCTTGTTGCCTTTCGAGTGGTCCATGTGTGCACATTCTCGAGCACGGTGTGGAGTGGATGTGGAAAGAAGGAGGGTTGACAAATTGGGTAATAGCACTGGTGGTGCTTGTAATAAGCCCCCTGGTTATAAAAGGTAGGGCTTGTTTGACCAGAACTGTCCTCAGTCTTTTTTTTTTTTTTTTTTTTTTTGTGTGTGTGTGTTGTTGTTGTTGTTGTTCTTGTCCTCAGTCTTACTGCAATGGTATTCTTGCATAAGCCGGAACAGAAGCTTTGGTTTTACTATTCCACCTTCTTTCTAGCAGCAGAACTGACAAGTGTCAGAGGAAAGTTTTCAGGATAATTAAAATCTTAAACCACCAGTACATGGCCCTAGCCAATTCGGGAGCCGCAATTGAGCCTCTCCTAAAATGTCGGAAGTTTGGGACAAGGCCTAACAGGTCTTCTTGCAGATCCTGAATTCCTAATATATTGCTACGAGACTGTCAAGATTGAAGAGTAAGCCTCTGGAGAGGCGCGAAGCACTCTTGATGGACTTTTTACAAAAGAAAGAATGGTTTACTCGCTTAGCAACTCTTCTTCAACAAGGGCGCTTCGCGTGGGATGAAAAAAGCAACCAGCATTGTAAGAGGCCGCTTTATCTTCAAAATATAGTCCGAAAAGCTATGCAGGTCATACTGGAGAGCTGAGGCGGAGCCTCTACCAGGCTGAAAAGCACGACTGCAATCGACAATTTTTTTCTCTTCGTAGATCATCTCCAGTATGACCTGCATAGCTTTTCGGACTATATTTTGAAGATAAAGCGGCCTCTTACAATGTCGGTTGTCTTTTTTATCCGGCGCGGAGCGGCCTTGTTGGAAAAGAGTTGCGAAGCGAGTAAACCATTCTTTCTTTTGTTAAAGGTCCATCAAGAGCGCTTCGCACCTTTCCAGGAGTCATGTTACCAGGCTTACTCTTGATAGTCTTGTAGCAAAAACTATGTTACCAGCAAGAGTTACCATTCCAGGAGTCATGTTACCAGGCTTACTCTTGATAGTCTCGTAGCAATATAAAAGCTATGCAGAGTAAGCCTGGTAACTCTTGCTGGAGATGATCTACGAAGAGAAAAAATCATCGATTGCATTCGAGACTATCAAGAGTAGGCCTGGTAATTCGTGCCTGGTAACTCTTGTTGGTAACTCTTGATAGTCTCATAGCCTGGTAACTCTTGCCTGGTAACTCTTGTCATGAATAATGTGCATAGCTTTGGGAACCTGGAGCAAGCTTTGGGAAATTGTGTACAATTAGCATATATACCAGTGGGTACTTTTATTCATAATATTGAATGGAATCCAGGCCAAGGTGCCAAATTCGTTCGGGCTGCAGGGACTTTTTTGCCCCAGTAATCCGTTTGAACATTTAAATACATTCTAGTTGGTAACTCTTGATAGTCTCATAGCCTGGTAACTCTTGCCTGGTAACTCTTGTTGGTAACTCTTGATAGTCTCATACCCTGGTAACTCTTGCTGGTAACTCTTTCCAGGAGTCATGTTACCAGGCTTACTCTTGATAGTCTCGTATCAATATAAATTGTCCCGTGCCTCGGGGTGGAAGCCAGGTGCGGCACTGGTTCCGCCCGCCTCCAAGGTGTGCACTGCCCCGAGCCCCCAAACTTTTTCGGAGAGCTCATTTGTGATTCTACAGATCTCCTGGTGGTTTAAATACATCATATCTTCACTCGCGAGACCAAAAAAGAACAAAAAGAAAAGGTTGTCTGTCAATGATTCAGTGGGTGATTGGGTTTCATGTTTCTACTTCGCTTATTCTAAGCATTTGGAAAGGCGAACTAACTCGCAAAGGGGATTAAGATTAAACGCCTGAATATTCAGGGAGGGGACAACCTCATACCTACCTACCCAGTGACGGAATGGTACACCTCTAAAGACTCTAAAAGGTCTTTTTTTTTTTCTTTCGAGGACTGGAATGTGACAAGTCTACGAGGTTAAAGCTGTTAATCAATCAAAATGTTAAGCTGCAACTATGTGCATGCTCTTCAGTGAACCCACTGGTGTATGAGGCGGCGGAGATGACTTGACTACCACCGTTAACCCGTGGGTTAATGAAGTGGTTGCCCTATCTTTACCTTCATTAACCTTACTGGTTAATCACCTGTTCGTAGGTTTGGAATTTCCTAAACCCAACCTTCGCTACCCATGGCACAAAGCAATGGGGGCTTTAGGTAGTTTGAGGAGGGGGGAAAAAAAGTACCCATCGCAGTGCAGAAAACAGCACACTTGGCAGGTCAGGTCCAAATGTACCGGTAGTTTAATTTTTCACCTCGTGTGCAAATAGTACAAAATCGGTTCTGTTACAAGCTTTCCTGCCCACCCTTTTTTTTTTTTTTTTTTTTTTTTTTTTTTTCCAGCCCACGTTTTCAAACATTGCAATTTCTATCAAACACAAACAACAAAGATTTGTCCGTCCGTAATGGAGATTACATTGGTAGGAATATAAGCAGATACATCTCCAGCTTGTGTTTCGATAATAGGTCACACACAGGATAACTACATTGGTAGGAATATAAGCAGATACATCTCCAGCTTGTGTTTCGATAATAGGTCACACACAGGATAACAGACACAGGGCCTCGCCACACGGTGCAGGAAACGAAAACGAAACGAGTGCATCTGCGCACGTAAGGTGGCAACATACAATCGTTACTATTTATAGCAAACCAACGAACCTGGCCATTTTCTGTGGGAAGACGCCATGCGGCGACGCCCAAACACCATCAAACACAAACAAGACACACAAAGGAAAACAGACAATTGAACGGCCTGAGGCCGTTGCCGACCGAGCAAAAGTGATAACGAAGCACAAAGAGAAGATAAGGTAGGTAGGTACGTACACTGCTGGACCGTTGTCCTCATCAAGTCGCAACCACTCCGATTTCCCCGGGGTGCATGTGGATTCATGTCTCCAGCAATAGTCGCAACGGCTCTTCGGAATCCGTACTACCTGATGACCGAAGCATTGTTTCCAATTCTCTCGCCAATTAGTAGGCCAGGACTTGATCTGCATGTACCTTCTCATCTCCTGCAGCCGCAGGTTCCTGAGAGTGCGAGCGTAGAGGAATTGCATGCACTCTTTATCGGTGAGTGTGTGGGCAGCTCCGGCCCGTATCTTATTCAAGGTGGGCACATTGCAAGGTATCATCATGTCGGGGTCAGCATCATCTAAGATGGCGTTGGCTCCACCAGGACTCAAAGGCAAGATGCACCCTGCCATGTTCTCCTCCGGTCGAAGCTGCACAATCTCAATCGTCGCTCGTGCCATACATTCCTCCCTTATCGCGGCCGCCATCTCCTTTATGGCAGTTGCATAACCCGTACGGAACGATTTGCACAACGTAGGCAGAAAGAAGAAGGATCGCAGATGCTTCACCGCCGCTGGAAATGGGAGTTTCAGCAGCTTTTTCCGATCTGGAAATGCGTTCTTGATCACTGCAACAACCGCTGGCTCCGCCAAAAAGTGGCTACTACAGTCTTTGTCCATCTCCTGTGTATATGCCACTGTCATCTCAACACCC